AGTTGATAAGTTATGTGAGATAGAACACTGCTGATTCCAAATGCAATATCGGCTGATGAGTTATGTGAGATAGAGCACTGCTGAATCCAAATGCAATATCGGCTGGTGAGTTATGTGAGATAGAGCACTGCTGATTCCAAATGCAATATCGGCTGATGAGTTATGCGAGATAGAGCACTGCTGATTCCAAATGCAATATCGGCTGATGAGTTATGTGAGATAGTGCACTGCTGATTCCAAATGCAATATATGCTGATCAGTTATGCAAGATAGAGCATTGCTGATTCCAAACACAATATCGGCTGATCAGTTATGCAAAATAGAACACTCCTGATTCCAAATGCAATATCGGCTGATGAGTTATGTGAGATAGAGCACTGCTGATTCCAAATACGATATTAGTTGATGAGTTATGCGAGATAGAGCACTGCTGATTCCAAATGCAATATCGGCTGATGAGTTATGCGAGATAGAGCACTGCTGATTCCAAATGCAATATCGGCTGATGAGTTATGTGAAATAGTGCACTGCTGATTCCAAATGCAATATTGGCTGATGAGTTATGCGAGATAGAACACTGCTGATTCCAAATACAATATTAGTTGATGAGTTATGCGAGATAGAGCACTGCTGATTCCAAATGCAATATCAGGTGATGAGTTATACGAGATAGAGCACTGTTGATTCCAAATGCAATATCGGCTGATGAGTTATGCGAGATAGAGCACTGCTGATTACAAATGCAATATCAGCTGATCAGTTATGCAAGATAGAGCATTGCTGATTCCAAATGCAATATCGGCTGATGAGTTATGTGAGATAGAACACAGCTTATTCCAAATGCAATATCAGCTGATGAGTTATGCGAGATAGGGCACTGCTGATTCCAAATGCAATATCGGCTGATGAGTTATGTGAGATAGAACACTGCTGATTCCAAATGCAATATCGGCTGATGCGAGATAGAGCACTGCTGATTCCAAATGCAATATCGGCTGATGAGTTATGTGAGATAGAGCACTGCTGATTCCAAATGCAATATCGGCTAATGAGTTATGTGAGAGAGAACACTACTGATTCCAAATGCAATATTGGCTGATGAGTTATGTGAGATAGAATACTGCTGATGAGTATGTGAGATACAACACTGCTGATTCCAA